GCTTCAAAGGGTGGAGTCTGTTTTTTTTTTTTTTTTTTTTTTTTTTTAAGTAGGCTCCACGCCCAACGTGAGTCTTGAACTCATTTTTTTTAGATCAAGAGTAGCATGCTCTACCCACCAAGCCATTTGAAAAGTAATCTCAGATTTTTTTTTGTGAACCCTACAAGGACAACAGTAGCAATCCTGTAGTCTTAATGATTTTAAATTTTTTTTACGTTGTGAAGACTATTGTGGAGAATTTGCCAGGTAATCAGAATACATGTTTATTTGGCCACAAAATTTACCGCTATTCCATGGTGTGAAAATTAGAGTTCTAGTAAAAATCGGTCTTTCTTAACACTGTAATAGTAAACTGTTTTTCTACAGGCCAGGGATAGGTGGTTGGTAGTTTTTTTTCGACAAAATTAAGTGAGCTTTTGATTCAGATCAAACTAGTGCTAGGCAGCAGATTTCTATTTATCTTGTCAAACTTTTAAAGTACATAGGCTAGCCAGAGGCCCAGGTTGTCAGATTTAGAATTTTACTGGAAAGAACCCCCTTTGGAGACATCTGACTGGATCTGTAAGGATCAACCACAAGCAAGCATGTTTTTGTGAGTAAAAGCAAATAATTTTTGACCATTAACTACCCAAGTTATATACTTTTTCTTTCAGACGGGGGGAAGAAATCTTAAACAAAAACCCACAAGGCACCTTTTTTTGCATGTAACAAAGTTGGATGTGTCATCATGCGTTTTATTTGCCTTGGTGTGCACACTAAAACACCTGAGCAATCCTAAATGTTATACTCTGACATAAAAATTACTCTAAGACGTCTATTATTTATAAAATCAGTATCTTCACTAGAATTAAAAAAAGGGAATAAATACTTCATTTATTTTGGGATTTGTACCAAGCAATGATTTGAGACTGTAGCTAGTTTGTGGTAAGTCAGTCAAGGTGACTATCAATATAATTGATTACATTTTTTACAGCCAGTTTTGATTCCACCACTGAAAATTTTTTTTGAAAGTGGGATTTAATCAAAGCAGTCCTAGTAATTTTGTTTATGCTTAAAGCACACAGGTTATTTATCTATTTTTAAGATTTTTATTTTTAAATAATCGTTACATCCAACGTGGTTTTTTTTCTCGCAACCCCAAGGTCAAGAGTTGCGGACTCCACTGACTGAGCCAGCCAGGTGCCCTGCACATAGGTTTTTTTTAAAAGTAGATACTAAAAAAATAGCCACTGGCCTATTTCTTTTTTTTTATGTATTTTCTGTATTTTAACAAATCCGGTAGATTTTAAGACACACCATTGTTTTTTTTTTCTAGGGAAGGAAAACTGCCAATGAGACACTGACATGCCCCTGGTTGTGAGACCTCTCCTTATTCCAGAGATGTTGAAAATGAAAAGGACAAGTACTTAGAACTGAAGAAATATGTTTTTTTTAATTTTCATTGGCTGTATTATAGTATATATGAATGCTTAGACTCTTAAAGTAGGCTTGTTCCTCTATGTATTCTCAAATGTAAGAAAACGTTTGACAAATGGCTTTTATTAAAGTTTTTTTTTCTCACCAACTGAGTAAACATGTGCATGCTGGAATGTACTGGGCCTCTGAATATTTTTTTTTGAGAAAAGATTTCTGTGTTCTCATTACCTAACTTCATATGCTTTGTAACCAGTTTTTTTTTACTGACATTTTTTTTACCCCAAATACCAGATATTTGGTGGCCCCTACTAAATTTTTTTTTACTGTTCCCTCTGCTGGCTTTGCAGTACATGAAGAAATTCTTAATGCTACTCTTTTTTTTTTATTAACAGTAAACCAAGATAATTTTGCAAAAAAAAAAAAAAAATCCTGTTTTTTTTTTTTAAACTAATTGTCTTTATTGGCCCTGATGTTAGACATTTCAAATTTTGAATGAAGGTAAATTATCTTATTTTCCATTAAATAATGGGATTCTGTTTGAGATGTAATATCAGCTACTTCATTTTTCTGCTCTCACACACCGGTACAGCATAAAGTCTCACATCCATAAATGGTATGGTTTTTTTTTGGAAATAAGATTCTGTCCCACTGCTTAATATATTCCTATAGCATTGAGGGGGGAACTGAAGGGAAATTAGTTTAACAAATCTCCTGGATTTGCACTGATTTGCAAGATTTTGCCTTGCCTTGGCTATAGAAACCATGACTGGGAGCTGGCTAACCTGACAAGTATTCAGTTCCATTTTTTTTGAGGGGGTGGGGACCCCCTCCCCCCCCGCAGTCTTTGTTACTTTAGCAGGCAGTTTTTTTTCCCTGGGAAATTTGATGTCATTGGACTTTGTCAACTGAAAGGCACAGGGTTTTTTTTTTTTCACTTGAGGGAAAAGAACCCTCCAACGGAGGCTGATTTACTTCTAATCAAGAGGCAAATAAAACTTCCACTTCATCCTTTTTGGGCTCATGAAGTTTTATTAGAACTGGACTTCTTTTTTTTGGTTTGTATTGAAAAATAACATATGGAAGTAACTCTTATTTACAAAATACTAAAATAGGGAGTCTGGGGCAAAATTAAACCCATGATTTATTTTTACTCTTAGAATAAGCTAAGAGGCAAGAGTGTCTAATAATTTTTGCCACTTTCTCTCCCCTCCTAACCATTGAGGTAGCGCCTGGTAGGATTAAGCAAGCACTTTCTGGCAATGCCAACTCCCTTTTCCTTTCCTTTCCATTTTTTTTTTAGCACAAGCAGAAAACGAATTTCTGCCTGGGTCACGTGGATCTGAAGCATGAATTCGAGCTTTTCTGCTACTTTTCGCGAGGCCCGGGCAAGGCACCCCCCGTCCGGGGTCTGGGTTTGCTCCGCGGCCAGAGGGCTGCCAATCTGCGGGGAAGCAGCCGCCAGGTGGCAGCGCTGAGCCTCCCTACGCCCGCGGGGAGACGTGGGAAAACGTGGGGATGGTCAGACTTCTTTCTTTTTTTTTTCCTCCTCCCGAACCCCTATCATCCTCCACTACTCTGCCTTCCTTGGGTAGCAGTTTTTTTTATCAGCGGTTAATAGGGTGTGTCGGCGAATTCAGATGATCCTCCCCCCCCCCATTTTTTTTAAATTTAAGGCAACCAACCGCCGCCTGTTCACTTGTCAGAGGCTCGCAGAGACTGGGGAAGCCAAGGCTAGCGTCCCGTTTGGATCCAGTAACTGAACCGGGGAGATTATCAGTTTTTTTTTCCGTATCATCTTGCGGCAGCAGGCACGAGTCAGAAGGCAGTTTCCCAGCCAGCCGCGCTCCGTTTTGGACAGCGGCTTTGGAGACACGGCGCGCACTGCTTAAGGACGAGCAAAGGCCACCCCTCCTCCTTAAAAAATGGTTTCCCTCGGCCGGGGCCGCCGCGCTCGGTGGCGCAGGCACAGCCACTGCCCCTGCGCTAAGCTCGGCGGGGACGCGGCGACGATTAATGGTGCTCTTTTTTTTTCCGCCGCCGCGGCCGCGCCTCGCCTTTCGGTTACAGTTACAGGGAGGAAATAAATTGGAATCGACTCAGGCGGTGCTTTTGGAGGAAA